GTACCTTTTTCTTCTTCATCATAATCTTGGCTGCCGCCTATAGATAGACAGATGGTTAGATTCGCAATCTAAAATTTGAAATCTATCAAAGTGAATGGTCAATAATGTAAAAGGCACCTGTGTACAAAGGTATACGCCAGTTAGATTTAGATCGATAACCTCTTGCCACTGTTTAGTAGTCATTCTCATCAATAAGCCATCTCTTGTAATACCTGAAACCAAATTATCAGAGAGGTTTTAATGGATAGGAACTGATATACTAAGAGGAGAGTCTTTTCTAATAACCTGCATTATTTATCAAAACATCTACAGTTCCCCATGCATCAACTGCCTGCAGAAATTTCACAAAACCAAAATGAGAACTTGGATTTTCCAAACAATAAGCAACATTTGAATATGCTCACAGTTTTTATCATAGCTTCCACATCTGCTTCTTTGGAAACATCTCCGCCAAAACTAAGAGCCTGGCCACCACATGCCTCAATCTGTTGAAAGCATAATCCATAAAATCCATATATTTCTCCCATTAAGCCATTAAGAAAGAAACCTCAAAGTTAAGATCAACTACAAAATCTGGCAATGATAAAGGTTAAAACCCCCAGCAATCAATAGATGGGGATAACCACCAGACACCAGTAATCCTAACTGTATTTATCGGTGTGTGATATTAAGTACATTCACATCAGGAAAGATAGTCACTTAGGAGGCAGCACTTCACCTCTTTGCAAACTTCTTCAGCCTCCTTTGATGACCTTGCATAATTAACAAGAACCTGAAAAGTTCAAGACCAACCTTTTCAGAAGCAAACATTAAATAAAAGCATTAGTTATTGTGAAGCAGTTAAGAATGAATCTGGAGCAGAGAAAGTAACATGAAAAGATGAACTCTATGTCTATGAAAATTTCTATCAGAGAACCACATATACCAAAATCATGTTATTTCTTCCCAAGGAAAACTAGTCCTAGCAATGCAGCAGACTTCAGCTCACATAATTTGGTAGTTACAATCTCATAAACATAACTTATACGGCTTATCTGTTAAAGTACCTTTTCCATATGAACCATCCTAAGAATGATTTCAAGAAGCTCTCCAGAAAAAAAAGTAATGCTTACCAACTATATGAAATTTAGTAGATTTTACTAAACAAACCAGTTACAGTTTTTTCATCATTTCAGACTCTGCTCTTCAGCTTGACTTTACCAGTTACAATCGAATTAATTCAGAGCAAAAGTCTCAAGAAGAATGTGAATCCCAATTAGGCCTATCACGTAGGAATAACTTTCTTTAACTTGGATTGAAATTTTTGGTGAAGCATATCTTGTACCTTACATCCAGCTTTCCCCAGAGCCAATGAAATTGCTTTACCGATACCTCTGGAAGCTCCAGTAACAATAACAACAGGAGCCTCAGTTTTAGAAGTGACTTGTGCCGCTGCTTGTTCAACTGTGATAGCTTGTGCTTTTACAACTGCACAAATCATTAGCAATGAATAAAATCTGCATAAAGTAAAATTATCTAGTTTTTTGTTTTAGAAGGTAAAGCAAGTTTGTAGGTAAACTAGCACAAAAGGATGTCGTATTAAAACTGAACAAATTTTTCAGAAGCAAAACATCAAAAGTATGCCCCTTATAATCCTGCATAGAGGTGTTCGTCGGTCGGTACGGTACGGTATTTAGACATTTCGGTTCGGTATATTTGGTATTCGGTTTCTTAAAATGCTATCCCAATCCCGTACCTAATTAAATTCGGTATGGTTCGGTTTTTCTCCTTTCGGTTTATTCGGTTCGGTAACTTCGGTTTATTCGGTTTGAATACTAACTAGTGCATAGAGTCATAAACTGTAATATTCTTAATTAAAATACTCAAAAGTACAAAACTAAAAACATTTGTTGTCAAAAGTTTTGTCCAAAACTAGCAAATATAACAAGAGAGAAAACTATACATAAAGGAATAAAATTGATCATTAGAAATGTATTGTTACTTGCTTAGAGTTAATTGATGAACTTAGAGAATAAAAGAAAGTAAAATTTTAGATTTTTTATATTTATGTTATAATTAATAATATGTGTATTGTGTAGTATAATATATATTTCGGTACGGTATCGGTATTTCATTTTAAAATATCAAATACCAATTTTTTTAAAAACTTAAACCAAATACCATACCAAATACCAAAATTTTCGGTTTCGTATTTATCAAATTATGCATAACCCTAATACTGCATGGCTTCTAACATTTAACACTGATTCAGCCTCATTTAGATGTTCCAACCTACACCACGAGTAAAGTGAAGTATACAATGATAGAGTTAGCAGAGTCTTCAAAACATCTTCTGTTTCTTTCGTTCCATATAGTCCACGATATACTTGCTGGTATAGTATTCCACCACTCGAGCTTGCTCTTTCCTTTTAAGGTGGAATTCTCTACTTTCCAACATACGCATAAATTAGCATTTACTTAAAACGTCTGATACACCCATAACAAGTAAATTGAAACAGAGACATGATGACATACACTCCAGTTGATAAATGCTTGAGCGGAAAAAAAAAAAAAACTTTATACATAACATAACATCTAGTCCAAAATCTCAACTTTCCCTTTACTTCAAAAACGTTATTACAGAAAATGCCACAGCTCATATCAGATGTTTCGCGAACGATCAATTCTTATTTGGTTAAACTCAATGTTATCTTGTCCTTGATCCTCTCTGACTCTGTGTGTGAGAGACTAGATCATATAAAGGCAACCAAATGTGCGTGTGTGTGTGTGTGTCTGACATCTATGTATATATAAATCATATAAAGCAACCAATAAAAAAAACCCAGTAAAGAGAAAAAGCTATGGAACTTAGAAATATTATTACCAGAGGAAAATGAGTTTTTGCTGTTTGATCTGCACTGCAAGCTGGAGTAATTTCTGGGCTGGAGCTGAATTAGCCTAAATGGTTGCAGAAAATTACAGATTTTGTTGTCAGGCGTTGTGATTCTCCCCTCTGATTTAAGGGCCATAAGAGCCGATCCTGTAGCAGAGAAAGCCATTGATTTTCCAATAAAACAAGAAATTAATGAAATGCAAGAAAAGTAGTTCTGCTTTGTATATAAAGTGTATCTATAGAGATCACAATGTGGGTGGTGGTGGGTCACGGGTCGGTGGGGGGTGGGGAGGAGAAGTTCGATGTTTTCGACAAAGCTTTGGAAATAACGAAAGAGAAGAGAGCTGTCTTTGTTTCTGTAATGGCGGGCGATTTGTACGAGGTTCTTATTCGGCTTGAGCTTTTATTTAGGTGGGCAATGTAATAATAATTTAAAATTATAGGACTTGTTATAAAATAAAAATTGTAAAGTAAGGACAAGTATAGAGAGAAACTGATATATTATTCAAATTTCAAACTTATGTACATAATGAACTGAAAATTACTCTATTTATAGAAGAAAGGAAGCAGCTGCGAGGCTTTTCAGGAAGCAGATGCGAGGCTTTTCAGGAAGCAGCTGCAAGGCTTTTCTTTAGCTGCTTGTAAACTGTCTGCATGAGCTGCTTGCAACCTGCCTGTTTAATAAGAAGTTGCTGTAAATCATTTCATTGAGCTGCTTGCAACCTGCCTGCATCAGTTACTTGTAGATAAATTTCAACAGAGTACTAAATGGATAATCTTTTTCAAGAAGATTATCTATAGCGGAGTAATAAATGAACATCCACAATATAATTATTTTCATAACACTCCCCCTTAGATGTTCATTAAAAGGTATTGTGCCTCGTTAAAACCTTATTAGAAAAAATTCTAGTGAAGGAAAAAAAGTAAACATATTTAGTAATATGTATTTCTAGTTGCCTCATTAAAAACCTTATAAGGAAAACCCTGTGGAAAAAAACTTTAGTAAGGAAAAAAGAGTACATCGCGTATTTTACTCCCCCTGATAAAAACCTTGTTTCAAATATTTGAGTCTCTGCATTCCAATCTTGTATACCATCTTCTCAAAAGTTGAAGTTGGCAAAGATTTAGTAAATAAATCTGCCGGATTGTCACTTGAACGGATTTGCTGCACATCAATGTCACCATTTTTTTAAAGATCGTGTGTGTAGAATAATTTTGGTGAAATGTGCATCGTTCTATCTCCTTTTATAAATCCTCCTTTCAATTAGGCTATGCATGCAGCATTGTCTTCGTATAAAATTGTGGATCTTTTATCACAGTCCAAACCATATTTTTCTTGAATAAAATGAATCACTAACCTCAACCATACGCATTCCCTACTTGCTTTATGAATAGCTATTATCTCAGCATGATTTGAAAAAGTAGCAACAATTGACTGCTTTGTGGAGCGCCATGATATGACAGTACCTCCACATGTAAACATGTACCCGGTTTGAGATCGAGCTTTATGGGGATCAGATAAATAACCTGCATCTGCATAACCAACAAGATCTGCACTACCTTTGTTAGAATAAAACAAACCCATATCAAGAGTTCCCTTTAAATATCGCAAAAATATGCTTAATCCCATTCCAATGTCTCCGAGTAGGAGAAGAGCTATATCTTGCTAGTAAATTAACAGGAAATGCTATGTCAGGCCTTATAGCATTAGCAAGATACATAAGTGCACCAATTACACTGAGATAAGGTGTTTCAGGACCAAGGAGTTCCTCATCCTCTTCTGGAGGTCGGAACGGGTCCTTATTCACTTCAAGTGATCGAACAACTATTGGTGTACTCAATGGGTGCGCTTTGTCCATGTAAAAGCATTTTAAGACCCTTTCTGTATATACAGATTGATGCATAAAGATCCCGTTTGCTAAATGTTCAATTTGCAATCCAAGACAAAGTTTTGTTTTTCCAAGATCTTTCATCTCAAATTCTTTCTTAAGATATTCAATTGTCTTTTGGATCTCTTTTGGAGTTCCAACAAGATTTATATCATCAACATAAACAGCAAGTATAACAAATTCTGATGTCATTTTCTTTATAAAAATATATGGACAAATAATATCATTTATGTAACCCTCTTTCAGTAAATATTCACCAAGGCGATTATACCACATGCGCCCAGATTGCTTTAAACCGTACAAAGATCTTTGTAATCTAATTGAATACATTTTTCGAGATTTCGAATATGCTTCAGGCATTTTAAATCTTTTAGAGATTTTCATGTAAATCTCATTATCAAGTGACTCGTACAGATAAGCTGTAACCACATCCATCATATGTATTTCAAGTCTTTCACGTAAGGCTAAACTGATGAGATACCGAAATATTATGGCATCCATAACTTGTTAATATGTTTCTTCATAATCGACTCCAGGTCGTTGTGAGAATCCTTGTGCGACAAGGCGAGCCTTGTATCTTTCAACTTCATTTTGGTCATTCCTTTTTCGCGCAAAAATCCATTTATGACCAACTAGTTTTACACCAACAGGTGTTTGGACTACTGGTCCAAAGACCTCTCTTTTAGCAAGTGCGTTCAATTCTGATTGTATTGTCCCTTGCTATTTTGGCCAATCAGATCTTTGTTGACATTCTTCGACAGATCGGGGTTCACAATCCTCACTATCTTGCATAATGTTAAGTGCAACATTATATGCAAAAATATTATCCACCACTATTTCAGATCGATTTTAATTAATTTCATCACCAGTAGAACTTATTAAAAATTTCTCACTCACTTGAGTCTCGGGTTCATTGATTTCTTCAGGAATCTCAGAACTAATAAGATCTTGGGTCTCTTCAGGAGATCCCTTCATAATATCATTTTGATCATTTGTCGATTTTCTTTTTCTACGGTTTCGATCCTTAGAACCCAAAGGCCTACCACGCTTAAGGTGTGCTTTAGGTTCACAGTTCTTATGCTAGTAGATGATCCTGCTGGGACATCAATTCGTATAGGCACATTCTCTGCAGGGATATGTGACTTAGTTATCCTCTTCAAATCAGTAAACGCGTCTGGCATTTGATTTGCTATATTTTGTAAATGGATGATCTTCTGGACCTCCTGATTACATATAGGGGTACGTGGATCAAAATGAGATAATGATGAAACTTTTCACACAATTTCTCCTTTGATTTCCTTTTTCTCTCCCCCTAATTATGGGAAATTTGTTTTATCAAATCGACAATCTGCAAATCGAGCAGTAAATAAATCTCTCGTCAATGGTTCAAGATAGCGAATAATAGAGGGTGATTCAAACCCAATATATATTCCTAACCTTCTTTGGAGGCCCATCTTACTGCGCTGTGGTGGTGCTACTGGCACATATACAGCACATCCAAAAATTCGTAGATGGGCAATATTTGGTTCATGACCAAAAACTAATTGTGACGGAGAATATTTATTATAATGTGTTGGTCTGAGACGGATAAGTGATGCTGCGTGCAAGATAGCATGGCCCCAAACAGTAGTGGGCAATTTTATTTTCATAAGTAGTGGTCTTGCTATCAATTGCAGCCTTTTAATAAATGACTATGCAAGGCCATTTTGAGTATGAACATAAGCTATAGGATGTTCAAATTTTATTCCAACCGATAGACAGTAATTATCAAAAGCTTGAGATGAGAATTCTCCAGCATTATCAAGGCGAATAGTCTTTATAGGATAATCTGGGAATTGTGCTCTTAATCGAATTATTTGGGCTAATAACTTTGCAAACGCCAGGTTGCGAGATAATAGTAGGCAAACATGAGACCATC